AAATAAGTAAAAGGGAGGGGCAATACTCGCCTCCGTGTCTTTCATAAAATCATGACTTTTCGTCATGAAATAGCAAAATCATGTAATTTTATGTCAAGACACGGAGGCTCATATTGCAAGTTTAAAGCTGAGCAATGACCGACGAGAAAACGTGAGGCTGAGGTCGAAAGTAGAATTCCTTGAAGGTGGATTCTCTGGACCAGTCCGCCATTCTCATAAGGTCTTCCAGGCGTGCCCCCGAAGAGGCCATAGAAGTGGCTGAAGCCCCACGTGTGGAGTGAGCGCTAAAAATGGATGTGTCTACACCCGCCTGTGACATGACCCACTTCACCCAACGAGCCAGAGTCGTGCTGGATACTGGGGCGAAGGGTTGACGGATTGAGAGGAAAAGTTGAGGAGTTGAAGCCGACCGATGGGCCTTCGTCCGAAGTTCGTATTCTCTCAAACAGGTCACTGGGCACAACTTAGGGGTAGTTGGGAAACTCGGGTACGAGACTGAACGTATGGATGTCTTAGTCCTTCTGGAGATATTGAATGTCACCCCGTCCAGGGTGAAGGATCTCGCATCATGGTCCAGGGCACGTACCTCTGAGACTCGTTTGCACGAAATGAGGCAGAATAGTGATACCAACTTGGCAGAGGTGAGGTCCGAGTTGGTCGGCCAGGAGGAAAACAGTGATAGGACGCAGGATACGTCCCATGTGGCTGTGTATCGAGGTCTGGGGGGACGCGAGAGGCGTGAACCCTTGAGTAAACGGCACACCAAGGGATGTTGGCCCGCTGGGCAGCCGTTGAAACCCTGATGAGCTGAGGAGATGGCCGATCTGTATAGGTTAATCGTGCGATATGCTTGGCCCGCTTCAAATAATGATGTGAGGAACTGGAGTATCGCCGTCACAGGAGCCGCCACGGGATCCAGGTCCCTAGCCAGGCACCAACCAGTCCAAGCTCTCCAAGCGGTCCCGTATGAGCGTCTAGTGCCGGGAGCCCATGCATCAGCCAGGAGGCGTCGAGATGTGTCCGAAACTCCTTGGACTTCCCAAGGACCCCTGAAATCTTCCATGTGAGTTGCCGTAACGATCCGTCCAGTAGGAGGGGATGTTGTTGGCCCAACGGGACAGCAGAAGGTCCTGGTTGGATGGCAGGAGTGCGGGAACGTCTATTGCCAGTTCCAGGAGTTGTGGGAACCACGACTGGGTACCTCAGGATGGGGTTAGTAGGACCAAATCCGCCATCTGGTGTCGTACTTGGAGTAGCACTCGGGGAAGCATGGCAAATGGAGGGAAAGCGTAAAGGTGTGAGCCGGACCATTCTTGTAGGAAGGCATCCACTGCTTCCGCGGCCGGGTCTGGACGCCAGCTGTAGAACCGGGGTAGTTGGGCGTTGAGCCTGGAAGCGAAGAGGTCGATGGTGAAGGGCCCCCAGAGGGATGAGATAGTGGAGAACACCTCTGTATCCAATTTCCAATCGCTGTTGTCTGATAGATAGCGTGAGCTCCAATCCGCATGAGTATTGTGAAGGCCGGGGAGGTATTCCGCCTGGACCATCAGGTTCCTGGCAAAGCAATAGTTCCAGAAATCCTTCGCTAAACGGGCCAGTATCGCTGAGCGTGTGCAGCCCAGGTGGTTGACATAGCGAACCGCTGAAATGTTGTCCATACGTAGCCTGATGCATGCACTGGCCGTGCCGTTCGCAAAGCTCCGGATTGCAAAGGAACCGGCTATTAGTTACAGGGCATTGATGTGGAGTCGGGACTCGGTTTCTGTCCAACGACCCCCGGTGGTCACACCGTTGCAGTGTGCGCCCCAGCCGTGGAGACTTGTGTCCGAGTCCACCGTGAACTCCGGTTGGGAGCCGAAGATGGCCTTGCCATTCCAGGCAGATAGGTTGTGGATCCACTAGGTCAGTTCATCTCGATTCCGAGTCCAGGGAGACCAAATCTGCATACGAGGCCCCTTTGCGAAGGTGTGCTATCTTCAGGTGCTGGAGCACCCGATAATGGAGCGGAGCTGGGAACACTGCCTGGATGGAGGAGGCCAGTAGTCCAATTAGTCGTGCCAGGTGTCGTAAAGACAGCTGGTGGCGCGTCAGGCTCGTCGCAGTTCCTTGCGGATTGAGCGTATTTTGGCCAGAGGGAGGCTGAGAGACTCCGCTTCTGAGTCTACCTTGAACCCTAGGAACTCCATGTGTCGGGAAGGGGATAGGCAGGATTTTTCCTCATTGAGCAGGAAGCCCAGCCGACACAGTAGATCCATTGTCCATTGAAGGTGTTCTAGGAGGACCCCCCGATCTTGTGCCATGAGGAGGATATCGTCCAGATAGACTATCAGTCTTACCCCGCGACTGCGCAGCCACGCCATGGCCGGTTGCATCGATTTGGTAAAGCACCACGGAGCTGATGAGAGTCCGAAAGGGAGGCATGTGAATCGCCACGTTTCGCTTTTCCAAAGGAATCGTAGTAGGTCCCTGGATGACTCGGTCACCGGGACTGTCAGATAAGCATCTTTGAGGTCTAATTTCGCCATCCAGTCTCCGCGTAGGAGTAAGTCTCGAAGGAGGTGGATGCCCTCCATTTTGAAGTGGCAGTAGCGCACTATGGAGTTTAGGGTCCAAAGGTTTATAACGGGGCGCATCTGGCCGCCTTTCTTTTCCACAAGGAAGATGTTGCTGAGGACACCAGAATGGGGCAGCGGAGCTCATTCTATTGCTCCCTTCGTGTGGAGTGACAATAGCTCCTCGTCTATTAAGGCACGGTTTGCCTTTGAAAGTACCATAGGGTGAGGGGGAGGAATACGACACGGTGTGTCTACCAATTCTATGTGAAACCCCCTCACAGTGGCCAGAACCCAGGTATCTGAGGTGATATCTAACCAGGCATGGAAAAAATGACGGAGTCTGCCCCCTACACAGGTATTGGAAAAAACATGAGGTAGGTGTAGTCTTACCGTAAGGGCGTCTGGAACCGGGGTTCCCTCTGAAGCTTCTGGAGTGCCATGGTCTTCCACGAGACGGGAAGAAGGGAGACTGGTGCCTTGTGTCCCGATCCTCGGGAGTTCAAATTTGACCGGCTGGACAGACGGCCCCTGAATCTGCCGGCCCTGGTAGAGACCCGTCCCTGAAACATCCTCTTCATGGAGGACTGGGCCTTGTCTAGGGCTGTGAAAGCACCTACGAAGCGCCCCTAATCCTTGATAAAGGAGTCTCCAAATAACAGGCCCTGGGCATCTTTGCCCGCTTCCGTGAGGGCGAGGTTGGCCAATTTAGGCTCGATTTTGAAAAGGATGGCTTTACGCCGCTCTATAGACAGGGAGGTGTTAACGCTACCTGCTATGCAGATTGCCCTATGTACCCAACCACGGAGTTCTTCCGGGTCAACCTGTCTGTTCTCGGTTCTGGCTAGTTCGGCCAGGTCGAATAATTTAGCTAGGGGGCCAAAAATGTCCAGGTGTTTGTCCTGGCATGATTTTAATGCTGAGTCCAAACCCTTACGGGGATTCCAACCCATCTTAGAAAGAAACTGCGTCATCTTAGGGTCTACCATAGGAGTCTCACAGACCTTGTTGGGGATCAGGGGTCTAGGACATTCTGCCCTGAGCTTGTTGCGCGCCGTCTTGCTAAGGGGGCGCCGTACCCAGTTCTCTAGGTATTTTGCTACATGGTTGGCTGGGAGCCATTCTGCCGACCTCGGGTGATGGAGAGCATCCGGGTCAAACATAGGTTCCCCAGCCGGGTCCATGAGGGTTGAACCTGCGGTAGCGGGAGAGTCGCTGCGAGAGCCACTAATTGCCAACCCTGATAGGGTAGGGGCGAAAGGGTCAGTGTCCTGCCCGTCAGTCTCGTTATTGGAGTCATCTCCAGACTCATCTATAGCCTCCTCACAAGACCCGATTTCTGAGTCGGAGTCGCTCTCTGCATGTGCTCTGGCACATTTCCAGTGCCGCGCCCGTTCTGCCTGGCGCGGAAAGGCTCTTTTGCGTGACATAGGCACGCTATCATGGGTGGATATTTTCACACCAGTCTTGTTGTTTCTGGAGGCAGGAGGGCTTAGGTGCCTAGATTTGGCCTTTGCCTTTCTAGGATTGTCCCCTGAGGGGTTTAAAGAGGAGCGCGGTAATTTGCTGGTAATTTGTATATATGTAGGTGTGTATATATGTAGGTGTGGCCGATGCTTCTGAGGGCACAGGTTGTGCCAATAAGGCCTGAGATATAGTCTGGGACAGGGCCGAGGACATGGAGCCCATGGCGGCCATAATGGCGTCTGTAACGGAACGTTGCAGTGCCAAGGCCTGGGCATCATCCGGCACTGACATAGGGTCACCCGCAGAAGAAGGGGGGCCAGAGCTGGCAGTGTTAGGGTTATCCAGCACATGGGGTATATCCATATCCCCAGGGGAAAGGGGGGAAGCAGCCCCTTTAGGTCTAGGCATAATAACAAGGAATAGTAATTTCAGGACACAAATAAAATATATAAATTTTGTAGAGAATAGAAAGTATAATATAGAGCTGCTAAATATTAGGAAGCACTGTTCTAAGAGATGAGGATGCAACTAGCAGGAGTTAATCACCCCAGGCTAGTTATAGCTAAAAGGGAGAAAATGAGGGAGCTCACCAGGGTCCAGACCGGCAGATAGGAAGAGGACACGAGGAATGGGGAGAAAAGTGAGTGATAGAAAATGGCCGCCGGCAATCTCGCAAGATTCGCGGCAGAATTCTAGCCAAATAGGGAGAAAGAGCCGACCGTTCGGCTGAAAATAGTGAATGCATATGGAGTCATAGGGGAAACACATAAAAGGTGAATGAGTCAGGCGTTCGCATAGAAAATTCGAATGCAGCAACAGGAGAATAGAAGGTGAATAAGGCAATAATGTGAATGGGTGAATTTGTGAATAGCCGAATTCTTGAATAGCCGAACAGTGTGAGGGAATAACAGGAGAAAGAACAGTCGAATGGGAGGAGGAGAATGGGCGAAAAAGGGCGCCAAAGTGACAGGCAGACCGGCAGTGTAATGGAGGGAGAAAAGGAAGCCCTAGAGCTTAACAAGGAGGTACCAGTAAAGGTAGAGTAGAATTAAGCCAGACAGAGGGGTCTGGAACCCTGGGGTCAAACAAAATATACACATAAAGTCAAAATATATACAAATTACCAGCAATAATAAACCAGTGAATGGTAAAAGTTATCAGCAGTGAAAAGGTCAACAGTGCAGAAAAACAGTAGACAAAAAACCATAAGGCTATGATAGAGTGAATTAGTCATGTACTTATCTGTTTGGTAGCAGCAAAGAAAGAGGAATTGGATGGGAAGGTGCTGCCTATTATACTGGGACTGGATATGGGAGTGTCCTATCTCTATGGTTACTGTTTTTTCTTACTGTTTGTATCCTTTGCTGCTATTGGTGGACAGTAAAGAAAGGGATATGCAATATGAGCCTCCGTGTCTTGACATAAAATTCTAGTATCAGTAATCACATCGCTTATAAACAGGCGCCCAGGATGTAATTGATACAATATAACATAAACATAGCATCTGCACAAATATAGCCACTCACTGATTCCTTACTAGTAAAGTAACTGAATGGAGTCAGGGGAGGGCGGGTAATGCGGGAGGCAATAGAAAACCTCCTATAGTAATAATCCAGTAAAAAAATAATAATGAATAAAATAAGAAAGGAATGGTGCCTTCATGGGTACCAGTTATAGTAAAGAGAGAATACACATAAGTAAGTATTGCTCAAAACAGAAAAAGTATATACAAAAACAAGAGAGACATGAATTAGCTGAATAACAAAAGCTCTGGTATGATCAATATATTGCTTTACCAAATATACCCTGGTCGGTGTGCTGTTTAGCACACGATTAGATGCAAATGGCTATGAAGCAGCCAAAATACAAATATTGGTCATGAACTCTGAAAGAGTTAAACAATTAGTATCGGGTATGCGGTCTGAGCCGCAGACCCGTTACCCGTTTTTAGGTTGTGTGGGGTATAGCGTATCAACCTCACACCACAACCAAAATTCTTGTACATGAAAAAATACAAACAGATAAAGTAGTATAAATATATCGATATAATGTCAAGCCCACAGATAAAGTTGTATAGATATATCAATCTAATGTCAAGCCCAGTCTTTTGCAGTCACTCAAGGGTTTTTCACAACCTGCCTACTCAAAAATCTAGTTGCAGTCATTGATTGCTTTCTTTTTCTGTCCCGTCCAGGCAGTGTAACCACTGTTCCTTAAACTTTGAACTTACAAACTATCCATCAACGGTGTCTCTAGGAAAATTCAGTGCCTTTGCTTTCTTTTTGCATCCTGTTCCTTGTTTGTGAAAGGCGATGCTCTCCTCTCTTAACTTTGTGGAACATTCTTTTGCCTGTGCCATATTTCTAACATACAGTCAGATATGACATTCAACAAACCCCTAGCCAGTTCAGGTATTTCAAGTGTTTCAGCTCAAGTACGCCTAGTGCAACAAATTTTGGGACTGGAGAAGTTATTATAAGTTGCATGTTTAGTTGAATTTGGGGAAGCCACTTAAAGCGTTTGTTGTTTTAAGACATTTGAGATAAAAATTAAACATGTTTTAAGCATTATAATATTCATTTATTTTCCCACTAAACAGTAATTTTTAGTTGGTTGGTAACTGATGATGAATTTATCATAGATGTTATTTTGGGCTAAATTTAAGTACACTATTATGAACGTAGCTCCACCATGTAAGACTCACAATTTCATAAATACATATTTTATTTATTGTAGCATATTTTTATTAATGTTTTTTTCCTTACAATTATCTTTATCATTTTATTGTTTTGCCTAAATTTTACATTTTTATTTATACAATCAAAAGCTCAATCAACACATGTAAAGCTGTCTGTCTCTACTGGAAACAAGTGTGTTATGTTTTATTTAAATATTGTTCATTTTCAACTACTGTAGCTGAAATTATATCTTTTTAAATTGAATATGCAAACTAGAAAATACATATTATTGCTAGGTGTATTGCTTTGAAATCTGCAATAAAGCTTTGCATTTCATAAACTTGGCAGAATGCATAATGGCATTTTAATTGCTCATGTGTATTCAGGGTGACAATATATTGTGTGAGATTTGATTTATTATTGTTTTATGTTAGAGAAGTTTATGCAAACTCAATATACATAATTATATTTTTTATGGATTTTTCAGATCATTACTTTGGTATTATAATGCTAGTCTAATAAAAAAAACTTTATATTTTCTGTAACCAAAATAAAACATGCAATTATTTGAAATAAATATGCCACATCTGAATTTCAGTTCTATGTAATTTTTAAGCAGATGCTAAACAATTTGATATATTCCCTAGGAACTTTAATAGTTTTAATTATCAAACCTTACATCCATTTGAATAACATATTTGTTAGCAAGAAAACATGTCTTCTATGTTTGTAACATTATGCGTAACAGAACCTGCTTTCTGTATCTTTGTGTTATGTATTTAATTCCTACCTAGTTAGCATATCACTAAAATGTTCCAAACTATGTGGCTATTTATCCATTAACCACAGACACCATTATCACACTGACAATGAAATAAACATGACAATGATTAAGTATAAAATTGATTAAAAAAAATTCAACTCTCAACTGTTCTACAGTAGTGATATATGAATTATATGCACTGATTACTGTTCAGCTTTTATTTCCTGATTGTTAATTTGTCTTTCTTCCATTTGTATTGTAGGTGGTATTTTGATGACAGTCTGCTTGGATAGGGTGACAACCTTTCTTTGAAAAGATGTGACTGTTAAAAAAAAATATGAAAAATCCAAATTAGTGGTAATCACTGCAGTTAGATTAATTGGTTTGAACTTAACAAATGGTGTCCTTCTTTTTTTTAATTTATTAATTTTTTTAGCTTTTTTTATATTGTAAATCTGTTATTTTTTTATGTCTTCCAAACCTTATTTAGTTTAAATGGTATGCATTTAAAATGAAGCCATCAGTTGGTCAAGCGATGCAAAAATTTTGCTGTATCATTACAGAGCCAAAAAGAGACACATTTTAAAGCTAAAATTAGGGTTGGAGAAGAGGGGGCATGTTAAGGACTTTTTAGTGTCATGAGAGACTTAGGGTCTGGTGGGAAAGCCTTGCTGAAAGTGATGGGTGTTAAAATATCATGATCCCCCCCCCCGGCAGCTGTGAAAGTGTTAAAAACTGAGGGGGAACCTAATGCAAACTTAGGCTTCCACATAGGAAAGCATTGTATCAATGCACAGCGTGGGACAGGTTAAGGGGACAGGGACGGGGCTTCTAAACCACTTTAATGTGACGAAGTAGTCTGGGTGCCTATAGTGTACTCTGTCGCTTAGCAGATTTAGATTTTTATAAACGAAATTACAGTACAGCCACGTGAGGACACACCCTCTGCAATAAGCACTTTAGACCAAAGCGAGGTCGTCATATCTGGACTATTCCTATCTCCTTACGTTGACCCTTCAAGTTCTCCATTTAACCCCTTAAGTACACATGAAGGAAATATCCCAGAAATTTATTCCAGAAGTCGTGTTCTTAAAGGGACACTGTAGTCACTATAACAACTTTGTCTCTTTGAATTGGTTATAGTGCCTGGAGTGCCCTGGCACTGTCCCTCCATTCAGTGTTGCACCATGTTTGTGCAGTATGCCACAAAAAAAGAGTCCCTGGCCACCCACAGTCCGGCCCCTTCTGTATGTGTAGCTAAGGCAGAGATTACACACTTCCTTGTTGTCATACCCATTCATACCGTCAGTTGAGCTCTGACAGGTTAAAGGCAGTCAGCTGACACTCTCAGCCAATCACAGCTGCCCATTGCTGCTCAGGGTAATAATTCCTTATTAGTCAAAGCAGCACAGAGGGAATGGACTGCCGTGGTCTCTTGTTTAGCATTAAAACATTACAACATTAAAAACTGTTTAGTGCTGAAAGAAATTATAGCACCAGGGGACTCCATACACTATAACCAGTTTAATGAAATGAAGCAGATACAGTGCCTACGGTGTCCCTTTAAGGTGTTAAATAGGTACTTACAAGATGGAGATGTATATAGCGCACAAAGGAGCCTCCCCCAAGGTTATTGGGGGGCTATTTGTCCCACTTTCCACTCCACTTTCCACTCCAATAGATGTAGGTAAAAAAATTCAGCAGCTTTATTTCGGTTAAAAGGTGAACAATCACCATCAACTTAGGATAAAATAGAGGAACAATCAGTCCTACGCGTTTCGTTCCAAATGGAACTTCCTTAATGACCAAACAGCATTAAAATTTATAACAGTAGTAACCTGTATAACAAACATGTCCTAATACCCCCCATCTAAAAATCCCTTTAAATAGGGCTAATCCCTGTGTCCATTGGTGGATCCGTGGGTGTTTCCGTCTATCCATAATTTAATTGGTGTGGGTGCAATACCTTCTCAGGTGCCTGCATTCATCGCGTCTTCATCCTAATTGAAATTGGCGCGTCCGTGTGTAGCCAGAACCGAAAGTACGTTCCGTCCTGTACTTCCGCGTTTCAAATGCGTTCCAGCTCGGCTAAATTGGGATGTATCAGCATGCTGCCCTCTGGTGGTCACCCACTTTACAATCAACAGACGCATTAATGGGAGAAACAAATAATGATGTTTTATATCTACTAAAGAGAAAAATATTAATATTGCAGACCCAATTCAATCACCAAATTTACTGTGAATATCACACCCACAAGGAATGTGGTTCATAATTCATACCTTTGTGTATTTTATTGTACATTATATTTGATGTCACACAACTTATTAAACTGAAATGATTGCCAATAATCTTAAAGAGACACATGCAAAAGTTATAACAAAAATATAACAGAAATTATCTAATCATATTATGTCCCTATATTAAAATATTCTCCATATTTATTGGTGTAGCACACATACCTATTTCTAAAAAATGACAATTCTTGCATCAGTTGATGAGGAATTAAACTGCTTCCTATTCCAAAAAATGTTTAACCTTAAAGAGATATAATCTTTATATATAAGGAATGTTCAATGACATAAAGATCAATTAAAGTAAATTACTCAAATGAATCACCAACAGAGTGTATATATATATAGATGTTCACTCAGGGAAAAAATATATAGAATAAAAGGAAAAGCATAGGAGACAAAAAGAACAAGACATACACATTTAACAAAACATAATAAATCCCTCAATTCAGAAAACAAACCAAATCTGTATCTATATTCAAACCCCTAGGTTCTAATGTTTGGAGTCTCTGGATCCAAATTGTCTCCCGTTGGGCTAATTTTC